TGAAAAAGAACAAAAAAGAGAATTTATGAGGATGGAACATCAGTTGCAAAAAGAGAAAAGAGATGAGAGAGAGAAAAACAGGAAGAATACATGCTGAGAAGGCTGCATTGTGAAAAATAGGTCTGTCATACTGAAAGCAGTTCTGAGGAAGAAATCAAAAATGATAATTCAATAAGGAAACGTTCACATACACTATCAAAGTTTGCGGAAAAGGTTGTTGAATCATTGTGTGTGTGACTTGAAAAGGTAGCAGATTCATAGGCACATCACCTGAAATTCATGCATCCCTGTCAAGATGAAGTTTCTTTGCATTATGACATAAAAAAACATACTATTCTGGAGTTTATGAGTTAGTTCCTGAAGAATATTGGCAACTATTGAGGTTTGAAGTAACTGAAGTTGAATGGGTACAGCAATGTGATTTTGAGTGGTGGATATGAGCACTGAGCAGAACTTCTACATCTGAAGCTCAGAGAGATCATTCTCCAAGAAGAAATTGAATTTCACTCCCTTCATTCACCAGACAATGCTCAAGACCAGATGGCTCCAATTATTTAACAGGAAAATGGAGCGGGTCACGACGATAAAACGATTGATAAAAGTGACCTTTTCCTCGGTCACCTGCACGCTAGGGTATATAGGAATACAGAGAACTCAAGCATTGATAAGCAGGCACATCACTCACCCAAAACATCATAAACTAAGTGCAATTTAGCGAAATATGCTGCATATGACTCTCAGTGGGCACACCTCGAAATAATCAAACTGATGACTTTGTTACTCATATCAGTTTTTCCAAGAACCATTCAATAGGCTGAAACTACAAGTAGTATATCCTAACAACTGTGGACATGACAAGCCCACTTCTAAAAGATTAGAGACCAAAAAAACCTGCAGATGCTGGAATCCACAGTGAATAAACAGGAGGCTGGAGCAACACAGCAAGCCAGGCAGCATGTGGAGGAGGAGGAGTCAATATTTCGGGTATTACCCTGAGCCCTGAAGAACGTTGACTTCTCCTCCTCCACATGCTGCCTGGCTTGCTGTGTTGCTCCAGCCTCCTGTTTGTCTACCAATTTCTAACAGCTATTCCTTTGAGGACTATTACAGCTCAAGTTATTGTGGTGGAAAAAAATAACTTTTTTTTAAACTTGTTACACACTACCAACAGAAATCATTCTGGACCAAGATTCCAGCTTTATGTATAAAATTTCTCAGGACATATGTAGTAATTTGCATACGAGACAATTCAAGTCCATCACAAATAAGGCACTAATACAAGCAGCAGTGAACACGTACAACAAACTCCCAAGATAATGAGTAAGACACGTTGTCAAAAAGATCACACGGCTGAAGTGGAATGGCTAAAGCAATGTGATTGGATCTTTTGCTTTTCCAGACGACAGCTTTCTAAACAGTCTATTGGATTTAATCTATTCCAACTCATTGATACTCTCGAGATATGAAGTCCACTAAAACTGATTGAGAAGCTGGAAGGCAAAAAGACAATTTCATAACGTTGCGTTACCTGTCCATGTTTCTAAAGAGACTCAGTGAAGCACAGGTCATTTAAAAAAAATTCCCAGGCCGAAATAAAAGAATGAGAAGACAAACATGGTGCAAGACAGCATTGCTACCAAGAGATGTAGTGTTGGTGTTATTACCTCTTTAATCACTGGAACAATGCATAACTCCACAGAAATATGTACAAGCAATATCACCGTGAACAGCAAGGACGTCAGGTGGTCACACTAGTAGGGTGGCAGTGGAAGGGTACATTTCTGAATGGAGGGCCGTGACCAGTGGCGTTCCTCAGGGATCAGTGTTGGGACCTTGGGTGTTTGTAATATATATATAAATGATTTGGAGGAAAATGTACCTGGTCTGATTAGTAAGTTTGCCAATGACACAAAGGTCGGTGGAATTGCGGATAATGATGAGGACCATCAAAGGATACTGCAGGATATAGATCGGTTGGTGACTTGGGCAGACAGATGGCAGATGGAGTTTAATCCGGAAAAATGTCAGGTAATACATCTGGGAAGGTCTAATCCAGATGGAAAACATATAGTAAATGGCAGAACCCTTAACAGTATTGATAGGCAGAGGAATCTGGGTGTACAGGCACACAGGTCACTGAAAGCAGCGTCGCAGGTGGAGAAGGTCATCAACAAGGCATATGGCACGCTTGCCTTCATCGGCCGAGGCATTCAGTTTAAAAATTGGCAGGTAACAGTGCAGCTTTATAGAAACTTAGTTAGGCCGCATTGGGAGTATTGTGTTCAATGCTGGTCGCCACTCTACCAGAAGGATGTGGGGGCTTTGGAGCGGGTACAGAAAAGATTTACCAGGATGTTGCCTGGTATGGAGGGCATTATCGATGAGGAGAGGTTGGAGAAACTTGGGTTGTTCTCACTGGAAAGACCGAGGTGGAGGGGTGACCTGATTGGGGTCTACGAGATTATGAAGGGCATGGACAGAGTGGACAGTCAGAAGCTTTTTCCCAGGGTGGAAGATTCAGTTACCAGGGGCGTTGGGCTTAAGGTGCGAGGGGCAAGGTTTAAAGGTGATGTACAAGGCAAGTTTTTCTTTAAAAAAACAGAGCGTGGTGGATGCTGGGAACTCACTGCCGAGGTAAGTCGTGGAAGCAGATACTTTAGCGACTTTTAAAGAGCGTATTGACAAATGCATGAATAGGATGGGAATAGAGGGATACAGTCGCTGGAAGGGTAGGGGGTTTTAGTTGTGACGGGCAGCTTGTCGGTGCAGGCTTGGAGGGCCGAAGGACCTGTTCCTTTATTGTAATTTTCTTTGTAGTAGAGGATGACAAAAACATTAAAAGTCAACAAGGTGGTGAGGGCAATAGCTCACAAAGCACACGTCCTACAATCTGATGAGCCAGTTCTGATGCAATTCAAAATTTACAGAAAGCAGAATGCAAAGACTGGTAAGCCTACAGAACAATTTCAAGGAAATCCGTTGGGCTAGACCACAGTGTGCAACGTTAGCCAGGCATGAGAGGAATAAATGGGAATCACTACCAATGTAACAACATTCTGATCCTTTTAGCCTACAAAAACAAGCTTAAATGCAAACAGAAATTAAATCTCTGGCAGGGAAATCACTTGATTGGGCCTAGTAAACCCACAGAGTTAATTCAAAACAGACAAAAAGTCATCAATATCAATGAAGTGGTGTCAGATGCCACAATTCAGGGTCAGGCACTAACAAGTGGGCATTGTCCTCTTGCAAAATGATGAAACAGAAATACAACAGCGTTTAGGGTACTTTTCAAAAAAAAAAGGTATCAAGGCTCTGAGATCATCATTGGCTCTTCAAGATTTTGAAGTTGTCTGTCACAACGACAAAGAGAAAGTATATAACGACCATAATCCATTTACTTTTTGTAGAGCAGTACAAAGCTTGAAATGCAAGAATGCTTCAATTGAGTTTATCAATTTGAGTTTATTATAAAGATTATGAACGAATTTATATTTACATGTGAGGGGAGTGCATACAGCTTAAGTTTGTGAACTCCTAATTCATGTCAACTCCTAATTTTGTCATCTCATTACAAAGACATTTATTTTCTTGTTCAGTGTTGAATACTGTTTCTTTCATCACAGATGGTAAACAGGCTGGCATTAACCATCCCAGAGATTAAACTGGGCATACTTCACATGTGCCAACTCAGAATTGTAGTCTTTATTTCCACTGCATCTCAATGTTGTGACAAAGCAAAGCACCAACTTCACAAGTTGAGGCTTCAGTCCAGACAGCCCTGATTTTCCCTTACGCGAGGGTAATTCAGTGGCCTGACAAACTGTACAAGTGCTCAAGCAGTTGAGGTGAGACTTTGTCAGCAACCATCTGTCTTGTCTCTACCTTCTTGTGCGAATACAACCTTTTCCCTCCAAGTTTTCATCTGACAGGAGCATCACCAAGTGGACGAGCATTTGCTGTCCAGCCCTCAATGCCCTTCAGATGCCAGCAATGACCTGCCTTCTTGAAGCACGGGGGTCCATACAGCTCAAATGGCAGTAGGACCAGGTTGGCATGACATTGAGACCACGACGTGAGGGGGAGACAAAACAGATTTCGGTCAGGATGGCGTGGACATGGGAGATGGCAACACCACCATTTGCAAGGAATTTACGTGCTGTGCCCTCCTGAGGTAGAGATGGCAGATGTGGAACGTGCTGTCAACAAAAGGGCTTTGTGAGCTGCTGCAGCCCATCTTACTTGTGTCACGAACTGCTGCCATGTGTTTAGCTGGCAGAAAGAGTAAATACCTGAGCTTGTGCATAGAGTTTAAAAATCACACTCACTATGCTGCTTTGAATGCGATGAAGTGGAGTTTCTTCAATTGGACTCCATGCAAGAAGTACGTATATTCCTATGAAACATTATCTCATCTGAGCCAGTCCTCCTGTTTATTAATTCTTGTGCACATATGTATGTTTGCATTTTAAAAGGACTACACCTGAAGGTTGCAAGAGACTGACTGATAAATTATTTTATCCTTTGCTGAAGGTCTATTATAATCATCAAATGTTTCAAAATTTTTAATAAAAAAACCAAAAGAACTGCAGCTGCTGTAAATCAACAACAAAAACAGAAGTTGCTGGAAAAGCTCAGCAGGTCTGGCAGCATCTGTGAAGGGAAAAAAAACAGAGTTAACATTTCAGGTCCAGTGACCCTTCGTCAGTTCGGAAGAAGCCAAGGCTGAGCATGCCCATTTTATGTTTCAATGCCACTGATATTCTGTTCAGTTTTGTTCTGGTTGCACATCCATTCCTTTTGGCGCAGCTGAGTAGTGTACTTGGCCATTTCAGAGAATAGTTAAGATTCAACCACGCTCTTGTTTGTGCAGTCACATTGCAGCCAGACAAGTTAACAAGGACAAATTTCCTTCCCTCAACACACATGGGAGTTCACAGCTGTCAAAACAACAAGTTGTGTGATGGATAAAGACTTCAAAAATAAAGACAAAATAAATGTAACTGAGGCAGACTAACTTTATTGTGACAAAGAACTTCCATACAAACATCCTTATAAAAGTTTAAGAAACACCAGACAACATACAAGACATTAATGAGGTGCTGTTGACAGGCCAATTCCAAGCGACAACTTCAGTTCCTTGCACTTCAAACGTTATAATTGAGAAGCGCTTCACACTTTGAGACAGTCCAAAAGCAGCTATATTTAAATTGTCTTGGAGAATGAACCAATTTCAAGCCAAAAATTGCATTACCATGTGAACAGCTACATTCTTCTTGTCAACATCACAAATATAGAAGAAAGAAACCATGGGAACATCTACTGATCAGAGCAAATGCACTCTAACCGAACAGGGTCACCTGCTTTAATGTACTCAGTTCACATTGTGTAGAACAGTGGTGCCATCTGACAGCCGAAATGCTTGGTGGGGCTAGAAGCTGCAGAGCCTATTCAAGTGCGACATGATCCAAACCTATCAGTTAAATGTCCAGATTGTGAAATAAAGAGCTGCAGCTATCTAACTTGTCAGAATGCCCTGTAGAATCCATGCATGCTAAGCATGTATTTTTTTTTCAGTAGTTAGAATTTGGTCCAGTGTACAACGTTCCTATTGATGAAATATGAAGTTTACAAAGTTTAAAACATCAAGTACTGCCTGCATTCAAGTCACTTTGAATAAAATGAGACTTCAAAATCTGTTCAAAGATATGACACAATGACCAATGAAAACCTGCCAATGGGATGACTCAATGGAGAACTTGAAAAAGGTGTAGCCCACCATTCAACATTGGAAAAATAAGCATATCTTCCTTGTACACATCAGACAGTGGAGATTGCTGATTTTCCAGTACATGTGATATTTGTGTCTAGCTCCAAAAGTATTTCTGTACAAACAAATGCCATTGTTTTGAGCAGAAATTAAAAGGAAAACTCAATGATCTAGTGCAATGCAATTCACGACAAACAAACAGTTAACTAAGTCAAAGCACAACACAAGCAAATTGCTTCAGTCACTGAAAGCAGCCAAAGATTCTCGAGAGATAGATACAAGCCGCTGACAGACAAGATGCATACACAGTTCTCCTTGCTTACATAATTTTTGGACTGGGGAAGGTCCAATGGAGCAGAGGCAAACAAATATCTTGAAAAAAAAAAATTGACCAACTTCCTGAAGTTAGCTTGAACTGAAACCACAGGGCCAGTCAGATGGCACTAACAGTGACAGGCCAAAACTGCTCCACCTGTGTGATGTGGCCAATTTTAGATTGATCCTCGATCGTAGTGCCATTACTTCAAATCAGTTTTTGGATATTTTTAAATGTGCAGTCTTGTTGCTGACAGTGTACCTTCTGTCGGACACCCTATGATCAATGTGAACACAATGACCAGTACCTCTGTTTGAGCTGCTGGTGATATTGAATTGAGAAACTAAACTAAAATACGCCCAAAAATTTATACCACCCACCACCACCACCCCCTCCCCCCCTAGGCAATGACTGTTGTCAAGTTATTTTTCCAGATTTGCTCGCACTTAAAGTTCAACTCTAATCTTCAACTTGAAATGCTGCATGGCTGACGTGAATACAGTTCAACACAAGCATATCACACATGACATTCTCTAAGACAAAACTTCAAATTGCAGCAAGCACTTCACCCGTTTGACAGATTTATCCCACAAGGCTGTGATATAATACACTAAAATTTTAAACTCTTCAACAATTCAAGTAGTCACAATACAGGGGTAATTAGATGGCATTAAATTCTGATCCAGAAAACAGACTTTAAACACTTGTGAAAACACAAGTCAGTGCAAGTTCATCAGGGTCACAGTTTACTTTTCAGCGGCCAACAGCAATGCAGAAAACTTTTATACCTAGAATATGAAAAAGGGAGTTCCAGACTCCCTCAGAACCACTCTCAACACCATTCCAACAGCGTACGAGGAAACATTCTTAAGAACACACGGGCTGTCCCTTCACATTCATTTGTTGATACAATTACAGACTGCCTCAACACTTTTTGGTTTAACAAGAGCTTTTTGGACTTTAATGCTGATCCGGTCTTCGGCACTGTTATTCACACGGCAGTTTTTTCTTAAAAAGGGCATGCAACAATATTACAAAATATTTTGCCCAGTTTCACAACATTGAGACATTTGGCAATTTGAAAATTGCCAGTGAATAAAAATGGCAGTGATTTTCACCAAGGAGCTCTATGGTTCTGATGAATGGACAAATGTCGTTTTCTGGAATTCATAAAGTGTCGAAATTCGATTGCAAAGCTCTCTTCTTTGGTCTAACCTTCAATGGTTTTATCACACCCTAGAAACAGAAATAGCTTTTAGACAACATGTAGACTAATGTCATTACAACTAATAGAAAACCTGCTCTGTCCCTACTTTTACTTACTACTTGTGTCTCGGGTGCTTCCAGGAGGAAATTTCAGTGCACACTGATGCATGATAGAGAAGCAGTACTTGGACTCTTAGTTATTTTAGGTTGAAACTAACAGGAGCTAAAACTGGCTCTGGGTCTCAGAGTCTGGTAAAGGGGCGGTCAGGGCACACTGACCAAAAAGAAACCAACATTTCACAAGATTCTTCCTCCTTGTCACACTCCAGGTGAAACCTGCTGCAGATATGCATGCAGGTACTGAGGCGGCAAAGATTAAACTGGCTTGTGATGCCCACAATTTAAACAATTTTTGGAGAACCTAAGTGGTGAACATAGATTAAGAATACGGATTGCAACAAAACAATGAACAACGAAAAGGGAGCGGCTGCTAACATTTGAGCTGTGGGACGAGACCGAACTTACAAGTGATTCTCTGTTGAACATACTAAAAACAGAATATACACCTTTTTTTATGGCAAGGAATCATCACAGCCTGCACCCACATTTGCCTCAAAACAGCACGAATTCAAACTCAATGCAGTTTGTCTGTCAGCCATCACAGGCCCTCAGAGCATTACTGAAAGTAACTAGCTGCATTGCAATTTCAACAGGTTTACACCTCAGGTTGGGAGGTGTTCAAACAAGTGTTGCAGTAAAATTAATGTATTACTATGTTTCCAACGTAAGACAAGTCAACAGCTGATGAAACAGGTTGACAATGTAACTTGCACTATGAAATACAAATTTACAGCCTAATATTCAGATTATTTCATTCCAGAAGCCCCTACAGCATGACATCAAGTAAAGGGCAAGGCAGACTTATGACAAGAAATGAAGTATCTCAAGATCAACTTAAAAATCAACTTTAAAGCCAATAACAAGTAAATTATTTACAATGTCCATAACACGTTGTCGGTTTAGCCAACAGAATTATTACGCTAACACAAAATAAGATATTATATGCCTAAGCAAAAAAAGGTTCTTCTATCATGTCAAAATGCTTAGACATTTACACAACTAATGGATCAAGATGCCCTTGAGACGCATCTTCTAGCGTTTAGTCATAACGATAACTAGAAATAACCAAATTCTGTATGCAATAGACACATTGGGCCCTTCTGAAACAGAGCACAAATTTCAATTCATTGACTTCAAAAGGGACAAAATCCTCCAGTTCCTTTTCCCTTGTGATAGCAGGGACTCCTACCTCTTTTCCCTGCACCTTCTTTCTAGGCATTTGTTGACCCTGGACTCGTCTGGCTCGTTTGATCTTTTGTGCTTCAAGGCGACGCAAAGAACTCCTCTGGTTTTCTGCTTCCCCATCAGACTTATATTCATCCTGTGAATCACTGTCAATGTATCGATCATTTGGTGCTGTTATACGTTGTCTCAGAGCTAAAGAAACAAAACACAACTGACAAGTCAAATCAAATCAAAAATCAGAAACAAACAAACAAACATTCAGTTTAGTTCCTAACTAATACTCAGTGGTTAGCACTGCTACCTCACAGCGCCAGGGAAGCAGCTTAGATTCCACACTTGGGCAAGTGTCTGTGGAGTTTGTACATTCTCCTGGAGTCTGCATGCGTTTCCTCCCACAGTCCAAAGATGTGCTAGGTAGGTGGATTGGCCATGCTAAAATTGCCATAGTGTTCAGGGATGTGTAGATTAGGTGTGTTACAGGGGGACGGGTCTGGATGGGATGCTCCGAATGTCGGTAGGGACTTGTTGGACCGAAGGGCCTGTTTCCATACTGTAGGAAATCTATATAAATACATAACACCATCAATTGTTGGCATTTCGTCTGATCCTCTGAAATACTGACATTTGCTGGAATGTGCATGCTGACCACCCCTTTGCAGTTGCACTAAGTAGCTGCCTCTGCGAGACTTCACACGAAGCCAGTAATCTACCCAACTGATCAAGGGACCTCGCATTAGTTTCCCCAGAACAAGAATTTTGACGAATGCATCAGTGGATTGTTGATCTCAGCTGAAGGTCAAACAAGGTTTGACATTGTAAGAGATAGTAGGAACTGCAGATGCTAGAGAGTCCGAGATAACAAGGTGTAGAGCTGGATGAACACAGCAGGCCAAGCAAAGCCGAGGTTTCGGGTCTGGACACGAAACGTCAGCTTTCCTGCTCGGCGTGCTGTGTTCATCCAGCTCTACACCTTGTTATCTTTGACATTGTAAGCTCTGGATCAACACAGTTCATGACAGCCATCTTGGATTTATCGAGCATTGGCAAGCACCAATGCCGATATGAAATGTGTGCCTTCAAGAAAAGTCAATTCCAAAATGAAGCTGCAGCTTCTGGTCCCTTTTAGCCTCTGACCCCAACATACTAAGTGCTTGTTAACTCTTCAATATATTACAGTAAGTTGGTACAATACTTTTCAGTTGGTGCCGCACTTAGATTTGTGACATGGGTGTACAAGATAGCATAGGTGCTCAGCAACTCCCTCAAAAGTATGCTGAAAAATTTCATGCAAGAGAAGACCAGGTAGCCAACTTGGATGGCATAAGCCAACTGGAGACCAGCCCCACAAAGGACCCTTTTTCCTGTTCCCGGCTATTTTCCATACGATTGCTAGACTCTGTTACATCATCAAACACCTCAGCAATAAAAACGAGCATGCAAACAAACTTGAATCCGATTCAGTAAGGCTGACAGGATATGAAATTGCAATTCTGATGACAGTGGTAGAAGTAATGATGTTTGAATAACTAGCTAAGAATTTCAGTGAAAGAACTTTGGGATAGAGAGCTTTAATGGTCATTCATGTGATCTTCAGTAGTTTGCATTGTGTTGAACAGTGAAACGGTCAAGTCAAATTGCAGCATTGCAACTGTGACTTCCTCTAAAAATACCATTGGTGGTGCGCTGCTCAATTCAGTTTTTGAGCTTACATGGAGTGATGAAGCACAAAGTTGAAGGCATAAATACAGCATAAACTTCACAACCTGCAGCTATGTTCTAGTACCACTTACATTTACAGCCTTTCCTACTTGAATGCTGCAGGCAATGCCATGAATACATGACTGATATTAATCTCATTACTTGTTACCTTAAATATGACAGCCAGAATTTTAACTGGTATGAAACCCCAAACTCTGCACAATAACATCTACCTTCCAAAACTAAAGACTCCTCTTCTGGACATGGGACAGGACACATCATAGACATTTCATTTTTAAGCTTAGCAAAATAAGGAGACTCACAGTACTCTACTTGCGCAGCAGAGATGGCTTTCCTTCCCATTATCTCCTCTTCAGGATAAAGAGGATCCTTGTAATGTACTGGCTCATCACCCTGAATGCTTGTTAAATCTTGCATGCTAAAACTACGCAGGCGTCCAGCGATAGCTCCCTGACTCTGCAACAGCAGAAAAACACAGATGTCACAGCAATACCTTTCAGTGTGAAGTATCTTAAGGTGTGAAGTAAAAACATATTTTGCCTGAAACGTACAGGAGGTCAATATGCTAGTGAAAAAGGACAACCACAGTTCCAAGCGTGATCCGACAAAAATGATGAAATTACAACACATGAACAAGTCAACCACAAAAACACGACTTGTCAAACTTGCTATATGTCTCCAATGCTTTTTATTACTTTGGTAACAGCTAGTTAAAATGGACTCAGAAGAATCTGGTTGTTCAACAAGCTATTTTTAGTGCATTATTCTCAAATCACGCCAAGACAGATGCTTGCAGGCGATCCAAAGCTTGAGCTAATTATCTATAAAGCATCATTAAAAAGGGTGTAACAATAGTTTGTGTTCAACATATTTCAAATCAACATCGACGAGAAGGCAAAAGGTACTACATGGATGCTGCAGATTCAAATTCCATGTGACAAGTTCTGAAACAAAATTCAGAAAGATGTCATTTGTGAATGTGCAAAATCTCAAAGAGAAGACAATTTTCTAAAGCGAATCTGCTCCTTTTAATTGTCCTCCATGTCATTCAGGTCCCATTGCAAGTATGAGACATTTAGGTGCCTTCTCATTGGCCTAACAGGACAATTATCACAGAAGGTGACACCCTTTAAGGTAACTAAGGATCATTAATTCAATTTAACCCTGCCACGTGTCCAAACAGCAGCACCCACGGGTTCAAGTCTCACCTGCTCCAAAGATTTGTCACAACATACCTGGATGGGTTGTTCAAAAAGCTCCTCGGGGTGATCCAATCCACTAGCGTGGCAGTTCCTTCGCATGCTGCTAAAATGTTCTTGCACAAATAAACTATTTATAATTGAAGAAACCACAATTGAGAGTCTGCAATAAATACCGTCCATGTGTCCTTAATACTTGCCTTTGCAGCAGCATTTACAGCGACATTGGCTGCCATGTTAAGTCCCTTCCTGCCAAAATTGACCATCGTTTCATAACCACGCTCCTTGGCTTGACTGATGTAGGAATCAATTTCCTAAAAAAGTTGCCATAAGATCACATGTAAAGCGATAGCTCCTTCATACACTATGTTGTATATACATGTAAGCAAATGAAACAAATTCATATTGTCTGGGCAAATCAAACCTCATACACATCCTACATTTTGCATTTCTATCAAATGCACAGCAGCAAAACTACTATAAACATTTTAGACCGTATTAGTTTAATGTTTTCAGCACAGACAGAGAGGATGAACAATCGTTTCTTAAACAACTCCTCCACTTGTCCATTAAAATGGAAAGATGGCAGCCTACATTAACAAATACATTAAACGGCAAAGCTGACAGAAATAGAACAAGAAAACCGTTACTCACCAAGCTGGTTCACAATTCCTTTCTGTGCACAACACACAAGTTGTGCTGTGATAAAAAGTGTAAAGGGCTTTAGAAGTATTCCAACAGACTTAGTCAATTTGACATTTCCTCCCACTGGAGTGGGCACAGATGCCCACAGTATTTGTTAAATGCAAAGACACTGAAGGTAGAAAGACACCTTGGTGTCCTTAATAAAAACCAAAAAGAACTGCGAATGCTGTAAAAATCAGGAAAAACAACAAAATTGCTGGAAAAGCTCAGCAGGTCTGGCAGCGTGGAAAAATAGAGTTAACGTTTCGGGTCTGGTAACCCTTCCTCAGAACTGATGGTGGCTGGGAAAACATCAGTTTACATGCAGAAAATAGGGAGGTGGGTGGGGTAGGGAGTAAAACGATAGGATAGAACCCAAAGAGAGAAAGAGAAAGACAGTTGGACAGACAAAGGAGTTGCTAACGATCACACTTGGTGTCCTTGTTGAAAAGTCACCCAACTGCAATATGCAGGTGTACCAAGCTGTTAACAAGGCTAGCACAATGTTAACCTTTACTGCAAAAGGATTACAGCTCATGACTACTGAAACTTTGATTCAGCACTACAAAGATTAGAAAACGGAGTTAATAATTTATGCTCATCTCAGACCCAAGTAAAACCTCCTTAGCTTTCAGTTGTACTCCCCACCACCTCAGCAGTTTGTGTCTTGGTTTGCTTCAGGTCTCAGAGTTTGGGTGGACTGAAACTGGACTACCGTGTGCACTTTTAGTCTCGTCTCAAAAAACATATCACTGCTATTGAGGGAATGCAACAAAAGTTTCTCAGATGTATTCCTGGGAATGTTAGGGTCGTCCTACAAAGATAGATTGGGCAAACTGCACCAGTATTCTCTAAAATTTCAAATGATTACAAGGTGATCGATGAGACTTAGCCAATATGTAAAGAGAGACAGACAAGGTAGGCAAAGGTAAAATGCTTCCCCCGACTGGCGAGATGAAAACCAGGGATTACAACTGAAAAAAGGGGTGTGCCACGGAGGTCCGAGATGAGGATTAACTATTTGACTCAGTTTTCAAATCCCTAAAGTGCGGAAGCAGGCCATTTGGCCACCGACCCTCCGCAAGCATCTCAAACCCCACCCAATCCCTATAGCCATGTATTTCCCATGGCTAATCCACCTAGCCTGCACATCTTTGGTAACTGGAGCACCCAGAAAAAAACCCAACTCAAACACGGGGAGAATGCGAAAACTCCAGAGACACAAAAGCTGGAACCGAACCCGGTTCCTTGGCACTGTCAGGCCACAGTGCTAACGACTGAGCCACAATGCTGTCTCAAAGAAAGGTGAATTTTGGAATTCTCTCGTCTCAGTACGTGTAACACGGTTGGACAGATTTAAGCCAACCAATAACTTAGAGCATTATGGGGATGAGGTGAGCAAGTGTCATTTGAAGAGTTTGATCTGCAATGGTTGTGTTGGATAGAGGGACAGGCTTCGTGGGCTACATCACCAACTTCTATTCTCATGAATGTTTTCTCCCTGGTTTGCTTGTTACATTATATCACAGTTCAACACTGTCAAGATAGCGCTAATTTGTCATTTTCCTTAAAGCAAATTGAGTCGATCTTGACGTGTGGTTCAGTCAGTAATCACGCCTGGGTTGGAGGCAAATTCTAAGATGACAGCCAAGTATAGCTCCGAGTGAGGCCTGAACACATGGAAGAATTTTGGTCTGAGCACGACACAAAGCAGATTTGTCATCAGAAAGATATTGCAGCTCAAGAACAAGGTCCTGTTCTGGCATCCAATCAACCATTCTCTCCAAATGATGATCACCAAAACCCATTTGGTCAGTAGTTTGCAAGATTTGGGAGACTTGTTGCTGTAACCTGTATAATAGCAGCTCCACTTCAGAAAGTGAAATTATTTACCAAGTTCAGAGAACTGCGAAGGTCAAAGATAAATCTAATAGATTCTTCTGTGACCAGCTCTGGCACACTATCTAATGTTAAGGTGCCTGAACAAACCTAAAATGCTGAGAAATAACACTGCATTGGTTGTCAGATCAACAATTTTATTTTTCTTTCATTTACCCAGTTGATACTCAATGTTGGAGAACGGAATATATCTAATTTCACTTATTCAAGCCTCATAATATTGACATCATTGCAACTCATCTATGACCGACTAGGAGGTGCTGCAATTTTAGTACACTGTGCAGGCTGCATGGCATGGTCATCCTAACCCTTCACACCTCCAGCTTTGTAGCTCTAGTGGCATATGTGGCACTGAAACTCAAGAATATTAGTTTTGGTTGAGTTCAAAGAGATGTCAATAAACATGGACAAGAAGAGGAACCAAAAATACCTGACGTGCAAAGATACCAAAAAATAATCTTGGCTATATACCAGATTGAATTTGTAAGAAAAAGATCCCACCATGTCTGAGAGAGTGTACTGGTCATTAGATTGGCCCCGTTTGCTGTAAAAATCACCAGGTTGCATAAGCAATACCGCTTCTGCTCTAACAATTCCATCTGAAACCTTCGGAGTTTTGAGAAACCACAAGTTCGCATCATAAATGAAGCGCTACTTCAAAATACCAATGATATTGGATTTCTTCATTTTCAATTTGTGAGCAGCCGTGACTTCAAATTCTCACTGACATTAAAGCATGTTGTCGAACATTGCAGTCCAACACTACTCTGACAAGAAACCTGCTTTTGTTTACCTTCTCCTTCGAAGAGAGTGTGGGATGAATAAATTTCTTGTAAATCATGCTGGCACCCCTGGTGTACGGGGACAAAAGCCAAACAACAAATGCAATTTTCATTTCATAATAGAATGGGAACCTGCAGGAGAGAATTTCAGATCAGTAACAAACCAAACATGACATATTTGTATAAACATACTCTCAAATCCCTTAGATGTGGGAAGTCTAAGTCATTAGCCAATTAGGATTCATTCAGCAGTTATAGACAGCTTCATGTAGAATCAGTGCAGGGCACCATGTGATCACTCCTGTTCATACCAGCTGCTTTAAGGGTACGTGAAATCTTTTGAAGTCTTGCGGAATCCACCTCCACCACTCTCCCAAGCGGCACATGCCGCATCATAACCACTGAGCAAAGAAGTTTCTCCTAGCTCTCTTCCTGACAACATTGAAATTGTGAATCCTAGTTAGTGACATACTAGTGGAAACAGAGTATCCTTCTTTACAAATTTGTTCCTATTTTTGATCTCAATAACGGTCCCTCTTAATCTTCTCTGCTCTAAAGGAGAAGAAGCCCAATTTCTTTGAGCTTGCCTTCTGTCTGAAATCTCTCATTGTGGGGATGATTCTTGTAAATCTCCTTTGCACTTACTGCAGGGCTTTTTGATACCTTTGTTAAATAAGCTGTCCAAACTGAACACAACACTCCAAGGGTCATTTGACCAATGACTTTGAGATGTAGCATCACTTCCTTGCTTTGTTACTCCATACCTCTATTTACATAATGGAGGATCCTTTAAGCCTTCTTAACAGGAGTTTCAATTTGGGGAGCCACCATCAGAGAATCATGCACTTGAACACAGAGGTCTCTGTTCCTGTACTCCACTGAAAGTTGCACCATTGAGCCCGTATGGTCCGTTTCTTCTATAACGGACATAATCTCACATTTTTCTACACTGAAATTCATGTAGCAGATGTTCTGCTCATTTGGCCAACTTATCGATGTCAACCTGAAATTGCTCAGCATCATCCTCAATTCACTATGCTCCAAGCTTCACATGACCTGCCAATTCACAGACTCTGGCCTCAATACCATCTCCAAATAGTTTATCTTAAGCAGAAAAAACAACTGTCCCAACACTGATCCCTGTCGACCACCACTTTCAACTTGTCTCTGGTCTGAGAAATGCCCATCTGTCCCCACCCTCTCTTTCGTAAGTTCCGCCAACTTATAAGAAATGCCCCAAAGACACATCAATCGCAAACCTCTCATTTGCGAACTAACCTGCCACGCGGCACCAAATCAACTGCTTTCGCAAAGTCCAAACATAACACATACAACAGTACCTCCATTGACTGCCTGTGTCATCTTGCCAAGGAACTGCTATCAGTAGAGTCACGGAATAAGGTTATCATCCCAGCTTATATTCAGATTGGCTAACTCATCCCAGAAAGAAACCTTGTTTAATGTGTTGAGTGTTTGCAGAATGTATTAGGCTGCAGATGTTACCGATTATTTCTTCCTGCATAATAATGCCACGTTCTACCAATCATTGATATAAATTTGTAAATATCAAAGTACTAAACTGGACAGAGTTTAAAACCTGAACAGAAATTTCATCAGAAGCTCAGCAAGTCTGGCAGCAACTATGGAGAGAAGAAACTCAATATTTCATGTGCAGTGACCCTTGCTCGGAATGGCGTCACTCCATAGATGCTGCCACGTGTGAATTTCTCCAGCAATTTCTGTTTTTGTTTGGTTCATGTCTCTGGCATCTGCAGTTCTTCGTTTATTAATTTGTGCTTTATTTTCAAATTTTCAAACTGTTCCTCAGCACTAGTTTTTTGTTTAAACTTTGTGCTTTACTGACATCTCCCAATTTCATAGCCTGTGGAAACAGTTTTATGATTGTCTTATGCACTCACTGGAGTCCATTTTCACAATTCAATTTTCTTCCTTTTTTTTTTAGAAAGAGGGAAAAAAAAAAGAAAAAAAAACAAACAACTTGTTACAAATTGGTTTCCATCCAAACTCTACTAAAGTCCAACACTTTGCTGGTTGTGACTGGTTTCCCTGAACTAAAATTTGGCTGTCCTCCAAAACATCATCTCTCTGAATTCCTGGTTCTTCAAAATTAGGACCTTGCAGGTTCTGTTCAGAAGTCAAAAATCAGTGGAAGACTTGATGGTCTTTAGCAAATGGAGCAATATAAATGTTTGTTCTATTAAAATGACAGCTGTTCTATAATGTACTTGAGTACTCTCAGATGCTTTGTTTGAATTGCACTCCGGTAACTGTTTCAAATGAGTTCCTAATTGTTCATTAGGAAGAAATTCCATGAAGAACTGATCCACTGCTATACCCCTGTAATTCATACCCAAATTTACACTACATCTTTTATGTTGTATGCCTTTCAACACAATATTGAATTTAAGCTGCTTTTCAAAATGCAATGAGGGTAAGCTTGAGAGCTGACAGTGAACATAGTAGTTGCCTTCAAATGGACAGAACAGAGAACTTGAAGCAGAAATTAGTATGTTAGTATGTAGCAGAAGTTACTGCCGATGCTGGAGTCTGAGAGAACAGTGTGGAGCTGGAGGTACACAGCAAACCAGGTAGCATCAGAAGCAGCAGGAAAGCTGATGTTCAGGGTCAGGACCCGTGTTCAGAAACGAAGCAGAAGTTGTTGTGGGGAGATATGATAGTCGCATTTGCAGAAATGTGGCTCGAGCCAGAGCAGGACTGGATACTTAAAATGCCATTTTTGTGAGCAAAAGGGGTGGTGCGGTAGTCTTGGTCAAAGACTGTATCGTAGCTCCTGATGTGAGAAACAGGCAAGGAGCAGTGACTTGGAGTATTTATTTCAGATCCCCACCTAGTAGGGAAGAAGTTAAAGGCACACTTGTAAGCGGACAAAATCTCTAGGATGGTGATTGTTGCTCATTTCACTCAGTGTAGGGTCGACTAGAAGAAAGGCAGTGTCAGGCAAGAAAAGGGGAGAAATGTTTGCCGTGGGTGCAGGAGAACTTCCTCAAATGTTGTTTCCATTCCTACTAGCAAGGGAGCTCTGAATTTGGCCCAAAGAAATGAGGCAAGGCAAGTGCAGGAGTATATTGAAGTAGTGATCTGGCATAAAGGTCAGTGTTAATTTGGAGAGAGATAAAAATGAGTCAAGGATTAAGATGGCAGACTGTAAAAGAGCTGATTTTAGGAGTGTAAAAGTTGAACTGGCACAGTTCATGGTATTATTTTGGTGGATTAAATAGTGGATGTAATATTGGAGCCGTTCAAAAGACCAAATTAATCCAAAGCTCAAGTACCTGGATGACCAAGGATGTTGGTGAGAAAATAAGGAAGAAGGAGGAGACTTAAGATGGACACTGGAATAATGGGAAAAATCAGGAACAATATTTCAAATGTATGAGAGGCTAAGGGGATTTCTTTTTAAATTCATTCATGGTATGTGGGGGGGTCACTGGCTAGGCCAGCATTTATTGCATATCGCTAATTGCCTAGAGGGCACTGAAGAGTCAACCACGTTGTTGAGAGTCTGGAGTTGCATGTAGGTTAGACCAGGTGAGGATAGCAGTTTCCCTCCCTAAAGGACATTATTGAACCAGTTAGGTTTTTCTGACAATCGGCAGTGGATTTTTGGTCATTAATTCAATAAAAATGCTACGTAGAGCCGAAAGTTCCACCTTCTACTGTGGCGGGATTTGAACCCTGGTTTCTAGAGGATTACATGGATGTCTGGGTGAACGGTCAATGATAAGGCCATCACCTCCCCTGGAATTATGAGGAAAAGATGGCAGTCTATGCTAAAGCAGATAGTAACATGTTCTTCAAACATTATTAATAATAAAAGAATCATGAAGGATGGACTGGGGCCCATAGGGAACAAGCAGGCTCAGCTGAAGGAGGCCAGAAACAGGCTATACGAGTAAAGAAAAAAAAAATCAGTGCGGATCTGTCAAGGGAAGGTTATGTCTGCAAGTGAAATATTGAGGAGTTTGTTCTCTCCATAGATGCTGCCAGACTTGCTCAGCTTCTGATGAAATTTCTGTTGAGGTTTTAAACTCTGCCCAATTTAGTACTTTGATATTTACAAATTTATACCAATGACTGTTTCTTTCTGCATACTAATGCCACGTTTTACCATTCAGTAAAATCTGCAGCCTAATACATTCCGCAAACACTCAACACATTAAACAAGGTTTCTTTCTGGGACGAGTTAGCCAATCTGAATATGAGCTGGGATGATAACATTATTCCGTGACTCTACTGATAGCAGGATTGCAAAGCCTTGTTTGAATAAGTCCATTCATTTCGCCATCTGAAGAGAGATAAGCATCAAGCTGTGGAAAGTGAGACATGAGGATTCAGATTGGTTGTCAGTTGCCTGGATCCACAGACGATATTTTTTCGACTATTGGCTTTTTTCCACGCAAGTCTGTAAAAATCTAGAAGTCAGTTGCACCCTATGCAAAAAAGAGACCAACTTACTTTAAGCCACTGCACTTGGGTTGAGAAGTGTGTTTGTCTGCAGATCTACCAGTTAATTCCCACCATAACACCGCAGCAGCTTTGGGTGTCAACTTTGTGTTGCAAGTTGAAATGGCAAAATCGAATCAAGACCGCAGATTCAAATTCCAGGAAACTTTGAACCCTTCACTGCTCTTCATCCCTACTGCTCCTCATTTTTGGTATTCCACATTCTCCCAATAATTACCCAAGAAAGCACAAAAAAAGAAATCGATCACACAGTTTTAACACACAAACACACTTCAACTTACCAGGAAATAAATATATCCGTGAAAGTTTCGATAGTCGTGAAGATTGCAAACACAATCCAATACATCATCCATCGGACCTAAGGAGAGATCAGATGCCCAATGACTTAGATGCCTCATCAGAGCACATTACCACGTTAGCAGCGGGGCCCAAAATCACTAGTTTCTTGAAATATGTACTTAAAACAGCCAAGCGAAAAGCAGAGGAAATACCCTTTTTATTCAATGCAAAAGGAACAAAGATGGCCACAAAGCTATATTTGCAAATTAAGTCATCAAATTCACTCTACCCTTCATCTACATGCCACACCTCCCCTCACAAATTACACATCAAATCAAATCTAAGCAAGTTACACACCCAACAACAGCCATTAGTTGAGGGTTCGGTTGCATGGAAAATTACAAAATCTAAGTTGAAACACATGGTAGCAGTACAGATTAGTGGGTTATGAACTTTAGGTGAGAAAGTACATTTGAGGCCAAGATAACAAGAGTGTGATTGGACGACAGAGCAGACTCCAGGGGTTGAAGTGCCTACTCACGCTTCTCGCTCTTACGCTTAAAGAGAAAAAGGTTTGTTCCAACTATTGGGAGGCAATTATTAGAATTCAAACCCAGCACAGGTTGTCAATCCCAAAGACAGACTTAGTCATGGATTTTCCCTCAACAATGGGATTTTTAAACAAGTCTTTCTTGTACCCTCACAATCATACAGTAAACTCCTTTTTGCACAGACAGTCAAGTACAGAAGCAAATTTCCTTCCAACAGCCAAGACGATTGGGCCAGATAGACCACAGCAGTTAGAGGCTTTTCATTCTTGGTAATAGATCAGGATCTTAATGCAACCTTAGAACCTTCAAGTAATGAAGGAAGCATGAGAGAGCATGAAATTGTCAAGCACTGAACAAATTCCACACATTATGTCACACAAATCTGGAAATGAATCGAGATCATCAGATCTTTGTATCTTCCGAGTAACTGGGGAGAAGGATACCCAGTACTCCACACTTCAAAGAAAATTTACCTTAAAACTGCTAGAAATTCCAACACAATGTCACTCAAATACAGGCTTCAGTGAGCATGATGGGGAAGAAATAAATACGTTACGCCTAAATTACATCTTTTAGTTTTGTGCGTTAAGATCATTCCAAAAAGATGAAACATTTCCCAAATAAATGAACCTTCTAGCAATCCCGTAGTTGCTGTACAACATCCTGTCATTCTCAGTTTCAAACGAAGGAAACGACAGATTGTATCACTAGACTGCCATTTATTTTAGCATTTATTCCCTAAAGGCAATACCCAACCAACAAACGTGTCAGCCGAGTTGTGGACTAAATGAGTGGGCAACTAAGCAGCTTTTAGAATAAAGCACAAAATTTTAAATTGGCCATGAACGTGACAAATGACAACAGTTGCTTCCACTGAAGCATTTTATGGCCAGTGAGGAGTAGAAAAATGAATAGTTATTTACTAACCATAAGAAAATTAAACAAACACTGGAACCAAAAGATAGATTACAGAGGGCTCTCTGTTCATTCTGAGACACGTGTACCAGGAAAGCAACTGTTTACTTCCTAAACTACTAAAGGGCAATGAACAACACTACATCTGGACAGAAGTTAGAAAGTTAGAATCAAATGTCAAATATAGCACACAGCACACAAGCAAAGATACTAAATTCCTTTTCTTTTCTTTATTCGTTAACAGGATGGGGGCATCACTGGCAACGCAGCATTTATTGCCCAGAGACCAATTCAGAGTCAAGCACATTACAGTAGGTCTGGAGTCACATGTAGGCAAGACCAGGTAAGGATGGCTGTTTCCTTCCCTAAAGGACATGAACGAACCAGATGGGTTTTTCTGACAATCAGCAATGGATTCATGGTCATCATTAGATTCTTAATTGCAGATATTTTATTGAATTCAAATTCCACCATCTGCCGTGGTGGGATTTGAACCAAGGTTCCCATAATGTTATCTGGGTCTCTGGATTAAGAGCCCAGCGATAATACCACAAGGCCATAGCCTCCCCAAAAAGAGTGGAATGACCAAAATCAGTCAAACAAAAGCCAATCTTGACCTTCTAGTTTGTTGCCTGTTTGCTTGGCATCAGATGAATAGGATCAGCAATTTCACAACATAAAATGAATGGAGAGCAAGCCAGCGAGATGCAGCTTTTGACAAGGTATGGTAGAGTGTCACATGACCAACAGCAAGTTCTGACTGTGTTTTCTCGAGCATTAACTCCAACTTCAAGTTTCAATGTCATGTTAATCTAAACGAACGTTGACAACAATTCAGCTGGTTTCTTGGATCCAAATATTTTGAAGCTAACAGTTGATTTTCTTTTTAAGTTTAGCCAAAGATTGTCAATTGGAATTACTTCCTTTGGGATAACAAATGATCACTAAGCAAATTGAATACCTGTTATCTGAGAAACTCTGCTGACCAAGTGATATGTGGACTACATTACATCTGCAATAGGCTACATTGGTATCAACTGTCAAAGAGCTACAAACCTTTCCAGACATCAGGTGACCAGGGATGACCTTGAAAACACATGTCCTGGAGTTCACCTCTTACGAATGACACAGACTCCATTCTCAACTACAGCACTTGACAATAAATGATTCAATCACTACTTCAAACAGTGCAAAACAGCTGCTGTTCTTCAGATACTCTCTTCATGGCATCAATGGCTGTGCTAACCAACAGCCAACCAATTCCAGGAACACACTTATTTCTGCACAAAATGGAGCTTCAGCACAGCAGTGAGGATTAACCACTGGGACTTCAAAACTAGCCTATTCACGATTCTTCTCCAATTTCTGGATGTTAAAGCAAACCATTAACAAAGCCTCAAAATCACAACAAACCCATGAAGGAACACAAATCCATCAGACTCGTACAAACATAACAGCATAGAAAACAGGAACGAGGCGAGGCCATTTGGCCTTTAGAAACTGCTCATCATCCATCTCAGTCCCTTATTCCTGCATTCTCCCCATACCCTTTGATCCATTTAGAACAAGAACTACACTCAACGTGCTGTTTTGGCCTCGTGTATTCTACAAGCTCACTCCCTGGGTGAAGACCTAATTGATCTACCCCATATACTTACACTGTGACCCCGAGCTCTGGACTCCCTGGTCTAGAGTATAATTCCTGCAATTACCTGTTCTACTCCTGTTAGAGTTTTACAAGTTACTCTGGAGTTGAGACTGGGGGGAATCTCAGGTGAATACCATCCAAACGATCCACTCGATTTTCATACATTTGTCCTACCGTTATTTATTAGTCTGTTAAGACTTTGTTACATTCCCACCATAGCCAAAACGCGCACCGCGTCTGAGGAATGGTAAAACTGCACATAATATCCACGCTGTGGTCTCAATAAGGTCACAAAACAGCAACCCTGCTCCTGGGCTCAAATCCTCTAGCTCAAGGCGGATATACAATTTGTTTTAACTGCCCACTGAGCCCAAATCCTTACTTTTAACCACAGGAGCACAAGGACAGCTCTGTCCTGTAACACCTCCGCCTTTGCCAATCTATCGCCATTCAAATAAAAATCTGCCGATCTGTTCTTCCTACCACACTAGATAACATCACATTTGTCCACATTATGCTTTATCCGCCATGCATTTTACACTTAGTTCCATCATCTAAGTCATTTAGCTGCTGCCAAAGTGATCTATGAACTCTGACTATTTGTTTCTCACCAGAGTCTTATAGCAAAAAACAGGCCCTGCGGCCCACTCGTCCATACCAACCAGGTTTCCCAACGTGAACTCATCCTATTTGACTGTTTGCTCATCTCTCTCTAAACCTTTCTTCTGATTGTACCTGTCTAAATGTCTTTGAAATGTTTTAAGTGTACTTGTATGCACCACTTTGCTCTGGCATCTCTTTCCATACACGCATCATCCTCTATATTAAAATGTTGCCTCTCGGGTCATTTTTATATCTTTGCCTTCTCACCTTAAAAACTTACATCCTCTAGTTTGAGATTCCCGTACTCGGAGGAAAAGGCTTGGACTATTCACCTTACTAGTGCCCCTCATGATTTTATAAACATCTGGAGGATATTCTTCACTGACCTACGCTCCAGGGTAAAAAGTCCCAGCTTGACAAGCCATTGCTTATAACTCAAACCTTCTAGTCTTAGTAACGTCCTTGTGAATCTTTTTCACACCCTTTCAGATTTAATTACATCATTCCTATTCCAGGGTGCCAACCATATCTCCATTCAATTTAGTTTAATACCCCAATCCCATGAACTTGAATTTTACACACAAATGTCGACTTTTACACCTTCTTAAAGTCTAAGTAAAACACAACTACTGCTACTCCCTTAAAAACTCTTCTGTTTGTGGTTCTGAAAACTTTCAATACATTTGTCAAGCATTATTTTAATTCCATTAACTCATGCTGACTTGGTCCAATGATGACACTATTTTGCAAGATCTGTTTCAAAACCTTCTGTGATGGACTGCAGCATTATGCCAACTGTCAAAGTAGCTTCAATATTCAAAACAGAAATAATAAATTGCTTTAGAAATGCCGGTCTAGCAGCTTGTGGGGAGATAAGCAACATTCACGTTTTGCACCCAGTTATAAAGACAGTACTCACATATTCCTTCACGTTTTTTGTCTTGACAGCTTTGTAAGATGTGTAGGCAGGATACAAAGTACCAAATGTAAGCCTGTTTTGTAAATAAAAACAAAGTTAATTTACCCACGGAAGGTACCAAATTCATAGCAACATGACAGCTAACACACTTGCATGACCAGGTGGGACACATCACACACACATCCGTCATTTACAGTTGCAATGATAAAGGAAGAGACTAGTTCTTGGCTTCAGAAATATCTGTAAAGAACACTTCTTTGGACTGTGAACTTCAAATGGGACAACATTCTGCTTTGAACAAGCAATCTGTCAGAAGATCTTTACATTTGTAAAGATGAAATCCTGCAGTGCATTCAGAGTTTTATTCATGATTTGGCCTTAATAAAGCAGTGAATAAGAGACCTAGACAAATCAGCACCCGCTGTCCCTGTACAGGGCAATTCTGCCCCCAAATAAAACCTCACTCGTTTTTCAATTGACATCAATTGTGTTCGGTTGAAGAGAGCTCAGCATAACAACCCCAACTTGATTGGTTACAGGGCAGGTTGCTGCAGCCTTGGGTTTGGACAATACAGTAGGAGATTCAGCCTAACAATAGAAAACCCAGCTCTCTCACTCCCCTGCAAAAAGAAAATCACCTATCATTACCAACTTATCTTCACATTTCCTCTGAACACCTCTCCCATTTATTGCACATCCCTGCTTAAAAGGAAAACCACTGAAGATGGAGGGAGAATTCCCAATGAATGAAAGACTAAGTGTACCCGCAATCGTATCATCAGCAAAAAGGTCTGAAAGTCTAAGAAAACTCAGGCAGTCAACTCGTGCTATCCAACGGCATTTCCTCGTTTACTTTGTCCTTCCACGATATTCATCTATTCATCTTTCTATAGGTCTGTCTGCATGCCCGAATGAAAATTTATACCAAGTGTAAAATATACAGTTTGAGATTCACAAATCTTGGACTTTTTGACACTGTTTAGCAACAGCATGATTACAATAAATAGCTGCTTTCTTGTTGTTGAAAAAAAAATTGTGTACTTATTTTCTTTTAAACTTCAAATAGACAGTTGGGTAGAATTGAGCAATTTGTTGTTTTTATTCAAATTTTGACAGGAGACTGCTCTGGGAATAATGGGACTTCCTTCTTGTGTTAAGGTGCGACATTACACATTTAGCATTTTCACCAATGGTGGCATGCAGTTTCAGCGAAGAAACTATTCTCGAATCTTGAATTATTGGAACTCAAATCTTCCAAATTCCACATGAAAAATGGTGGATGGTTTGGGAATTCAGAGCAAGACATCAGATTAGCCTATCTTGTATCACTCAAAGCAGTAATTGAGAAGGTACTTAGCAGGTATATAGGGACTCGAGTCTGGTCAAGCGTTCAAAGTTTACCACTCCAGACCGTTGCAAGAAATCCAAATGATTTGTCGACAGGAAATCTATAGCTGGACAGTGAACCAATTTTTCTTGCTGCACACAAAACACTGAAATTATGACTATTCAAAACAGGCAGCATTTGAAAGATGCCATTAGTTGCAGCTCAAGCAGCATTCTTCCAGTTACTCCCTCTGATGGCTCTTTAGCTTGGTGCTCAAAATTTGGATACATCCAAACTTTGTCCATGTCACTGCTGTCAAATACACCAAAAAGAGATCTTCCTGATAATCTCAAAAGGCCTTCAAGCACAATACTTCCATGCACCTCAAAAGCAAATTCCATCTCACAGATGTTTGAACATTCAAATACTTCAGTAATTCTCACGACTCACTCTCTCCCTGGTCAGCAACATCGTTACTGTTTCTTCCATCTGAAGGTTTCTTTAAAACAAGAAATTCATAAACAAACGGCAGTTGGCTAAATGTGCTAAAACATGACAATTTTACTTCTTTTGGTATCTGAAGGGAGTCCTTTGAACTGTGCTACATTAACTAACTTTTGCTATGCGGACTGTCCCAGCAGCACAATATCTCAACTTGTGACTGATTGAACCAATATTCAAAAGCCGTAATCATCAAATCTTATCATTCACGATGCAAAAAGACTGAAGGATTTGAATCTATTTCAACACTGAAGTCCCAATTTCTACTACACTACTTCACGATCAGCTGTTGGCGTCAGACCTTTTCCGCTGAAAAAGACGTGCAAGAGCACAGCAGTGCTTGTAATCAGATTTTGAAAACAGACCTCTGCCTGCAAGATTATGATAACCTGCACAGCTGCTTCTGCTCCTTCCCGAATCCTGCCAAATCCGACATACGTGGGCTGTTGCAATCTGAAAGTTCGTTGCACTGAATCAGCCAAACAGCCCTAATATTCTTGACAGGTGCAGCTCCTTCAGAACTCTTGGCATTTCAGTCAGCCACCTAGTTCTTTAGGAGAGAAAAGAGCCAAGTCAATCATTTCCTTACAAATCAATGTTCTCCCTGACCTGAACGCTTTATGCAGTCTTGCAGTGTGTTATTACCTCCAATTTCAACCCCAACCAAAATTTCACACTTGAACTTCAACTTGTTTTTCGCACTTGACACAGCAGTCTAACTTTGTAACACAGAACAAAATGAGACAATACAGATGATATTCTGCACTATGATAAATGGGAGTTGACTATTCAACCCTAAGAGGCTGTTCCACAATTCTATGCTGTCCTATATATTACCTCCACTCATGTTTTTTTGGGGTTCATATCTTTCAATATCCTTGGCGTGTCAAACACAAGTTTCAAATTCCGCTTTACATTATCACAAATCAAAAGCTCGACACGTGACTCACTTCAGCATGACTCGGTCATCTTTAGTTGTTAAGGTAACTACAGAAAACATGTTCTCAAAGAAAGAGCATTTTCTTTGCTTGCAGCACTGCTACACTCCAAACGTACGATTATTTTCGTTTCACAATTAGCATTTCAACTCCGTTCATTTAAATACTTGTTTTGTAACTTCCTATTGAAACAAACTAAGACTTGCTCAGGGTATACAATTAACAACTCACAACAAAGGGAGAGGTGGATTATTGCCAGCTAGTGTACACAGACAGCAACTTTTTGGTTCAGTGAGATTTAAGGTTTGTCAAAAAATTACACGACTCAAACATCACCTAAGAAAAACAACAGGCATTACCGAGTGAAGGCAGCCAGCAACACATTAAACACAAAGTTAACACTTTTTAGTCATAATTTACACAGATCACCAAAATGCTCAGCAGAACTGCTATGGAGATCTTAATCTTTTAAGAAACATTCAGCCCCGTTTGCCACGGTTTGGTAAAAAAAAAATGCACGTGCCACAAGGCTGTTTTTAAATTTGTAAAAAAACGGTCCCCAAAAACAACCATGCAATGCTATCACTGAGCAAATAAAATCTCCAGGCTTCTTGATTGTATCAACACCTGTAATCTCTTCAAGCATGATCTCCTCCACTGATCTTTTATTTTAATATTGCCACCTCGATGAACAGTGACTGTTCTCCGGGCTCCCCGACAAATTTGGATTTTATCTCTAATGACATTGGCGTCAATTTATCGGTGACGCTTATCAGAAGCCTCTTTTGTTCAGAGAATGCAGGTAATTTAAACTGTGCTCCAAGTTCAATCCTGGCTGGGTTCTCAGACAATTGATAGAATTTGGACAGCTCACCATCTGTACACGTACGAGATATAAATCCAGTTCTGATTCTTACTGAGGTAGCTTTGACTCATCTTGATGAGACTTAAAACGTTCCCAGTGACTGTAACACGAAGTCAGTTGTGACTCGTTTCCCTCCTGTCGACCTCGTAGTCCTCCGAGGTTGCGTGATGCATAACGCCCATTTCGCTTCTCCCTCAAGCCAACAACCACTCAACTTGCCCTCAATGTTAGCTGATGTTGTTACATACTCTCTACTCACCTGCTCTTCCATTCCTTATCCATCACTCCTTAATAAAAGGAATCCCAGTTGGAGAAGATTCTCTTCCTACTTCTGCATCGTGACCTTTGGTAACTCGTAACAATTTAACCTTAACCTCCACTCTCTGGTAGGCTTGCTAATCCTCATCAAACACACAAAACAACAATGTTTGTTTTCATATGACATGAAATCCGGGTCTATGTTATCACCACCCATCTCAAATCCTTACGTTTGACAGGCAGTCTGATAATTCATTACGCTTAACAAACAGAAAGTCCGCCCAAGTATTGGCAAGACTTCAGCTATCATCTTGGATTCAAACTCCAAACTCCATTCTTCAAATGACCTACTCCGTGCCAAAGCAAACTAAGCCATCCTTTTGCCAGTACTTGACCCTATCCTCATTGCACACCCCCAACTTACCTGGGTTTTCGTCAGCTGCCTCTGGCACTGCAGGACTGCAGTGGTAACCACTGTGCCACTAGGCCACACCATATTTTGACTCTGATTGTCCTGGGTCCCCTCACCAGTACGAATACAAATCTTTTGATGCTCTTCGATTGTATAGCTTCCAGTCAAGATAGCTTTTGAGAGTAAAGCTGAGCGGTGAGGACAGGAATTCGGACATTTTTTAATGGGGAGATAAATTCCTAAATATTGAATCCAAGGTGAATTTAAGTAGCTTGAAACTTGCAGGTCTGTAATACAAGTTATGGAGATTATGCAGTTGATCATCTCCTGCTTTTGGATGCTATGAATAAGAAAAAGATACTTGAATGTTGCACGGGAATGGTTTTAGTAACTGAATGCTGGGAGGAAATGAACAGCTGCTTGGGCACGTAATACACTGCTAGAGAAAAGCCAGCATGATTGTTCAAACCAATTGTGTTTGACGAACTTAATTGGATCGATGAATGCATTGCTGTTGATCTACGTATACACATTTCTGTTCAGTATCGAGAAAGGACAATGTGTGAGGAGGAGAGCAGGTGACCTTAGTCAAACACAGGATTCGGAAGGGGTTTGAGTAGATTTGGAGACATTATATTCCCTTTCAGGCAAATAAGGAGTTGCCTAGTTAGGACAGAGATGAGCAAGAATTTCTTCTGTGGGCAATGAATTTGTGAAACTTTTGACTGCAGAGGGCCATAGAGTCATGTAACGAAGCACATTCGAGGCAGAT